TCAGTGTCCAAGACGGTTCCCCAGTAATAGGAACAGGGACTGTCTCTGACATAAACTCATGGGCTGGCTCTTTGATCACCTCCGCCTGAGTGAGAAGCAGCCTTACCAATCCACAGAGGAAGACAATGAAGCCAGTCCTGGTGAGACCTGATAGACTAGGGTTAGATGGAAGGGGTGGAGGACCTCCCCTATCATTGGACTGGAGGTGGGGCATAGGAGAAGAGGGGTGGAGGGTAAGATTAGGATGGAATGGGGGTGGGGGCTACAGCTGGGATACAAAGTGAATAAACTGTAATTAATAAAAATAAAAATAATTGTAAAAAAAATCATCATCTTAGTGTATTTTGTATTGTTGTGATGAGACACCATGAATAAGGAACCTTATAAAAGAAAGCATTTAATTTGGGGGCATATAGTTCCATAAGGTAGAGTCCATGAGCATCATGGGAAAGGGGGGAGTATGGAGAGGGAGAGGACAATAATTGGAAATGAGACAAGTTTTTAATATCTGAAAAGCCATCCTTATTGGTGTAAGGTGAAATCTCGGGGTCTTTTTGATTTGCATTTTCCCGATAGCTAAGGATGTTGAGCATTTCTTTAAGTGTTTCTCTGCATTCAGTATTCCTTTATTGAGAATTCTCTGTTTAGCTTTGTACCCCATTTTTTAATTGGATTGCTTGATTTGTTGCTGTTTAACTTCTTGAGTTCTTTATACATTCTGGATATTAGCCTTCTGTCAGATATAGGATTAGTGAAGATCTTTCCCAATCTGTAAGCTGTCATTTTGTTCTTATGACTGTGTCCTTTGCTTTACAGAAGTTTTTCAGTTTCATGAGGTCCCATTTATTGATTGTTGATCTTAGAGCCTGTGCTGTTGGTGTTCTGTTCAGGAAGTTGTTTCCAGGGCCAATGAATTCTAGACTCTTCCTCACTTTTTTTTCTAACCGATTTAGTGTATCTGGTTTTATGTTGAAGTTTTTGATCCACTTAGACTCTACTTTTGTTCAGGATTATAAATATGGATCTATTTGCATTTTTCTACATGTAGATATACAGTTAGACCAGCACCATTTGTTGAAGATGTTGTCTTTTTTCCATTGTATGGTTTTGGCATCTTTGTCAAAAATCAAGTGTCTATAAACCTTACACCCATTAGAATGGTTAAGATCAAAAACTCAAATGACAACACATGCTGAAGAGGATGTGGAGAAATGGGAACCCTCCTCCATTGCTGGTGGGAATGTAAGCTTATACAACCACTTAGGAAATCAATCTGGTGCTTTTTCAGACAATTAGGAATAGTGCTTCCTCAAGATCCAGCTACAGCATTCCTAGGCATACATCCAAAACATGCTCCAGTATACAACAAGGAAATTTGCACAACCATGTTCGTAGCAACTTTATTCATAACAGCCAGAATCTGGAAACAACTCAGATGTCCCTCAGCTGAGGAATGGGTACAAAAATCATGGTACATTTACACAATGGAATACTACATAACAATTTAAAACAAGGAAATCATGAAATTTGCAGGCAAATGGGGAGAACTAGAAAAGATCATCCTGAGTGAGGTATCCTAGAAGCAGAAAGACTCACATGGTATATACTCACTTATAAGTGGATATTAGACATAAAATAAGGATAAAGAACTAAAGAAGTTGAAAAGCAGCAAACCAAGTAATCCAATTAAAAAATGGGGAACAGAGCTAAACAGAATTTTCAATAGAGGAATACAGAATGGCAGAGAAACACTTAAAAAAATGCACAATGTCCTTAGCCAACAGAGAGATGCAAATCAAAACAACCCTGAGATTTCACTTTACACCCATCAAAATGGCCAAGATGAAAAACTCAAGTGACAACACATGCTGGAGAGGCTGTGGAGAAAGGGGAACCCTCCTCTGCTGCTGGTGAGAATGTAAACTTGTACAACCACTCTGGAAATCAATCTGGCGCTTTCTCAGACAACTAGGAATAGCGTTTCCTCAAGATCCAGCCATACCACTCCTAGGCATATATCCAAAAGAGGCTCAAGTACACAATAAGGACATTTGCTCAACCATGTTTGAAGCAGCTTTATATGTAATAGCCAGAAGCTGGAAACAGCCCAGATGCCCCTCAACTGAAGAATGGATGCAGAAATTGTGCTACATCTACACAATGGAATATTACTCAGCAATGAAAAATAAGGAAATCATGAAATTTGCAGGTAAATGGTGGGACCTGGAAAGGATCATCCTGAGTGAGCTGTCCCAGAGTACATGTGATATGTACTCACTCATATAGACATGTAATATAGGATGAACCTACTGAAATCTATACATCTAAAGAAACTAATCAAGAGAGAGGATGCTGACTAAAATCCCCATCCTGAAAGGCAAAGAGGAAGGACATCAGAGGAGGAAGAAAACAGGAAATAGGCTGAGAACCTGCCACAGAGGGCCTCTAAAAGGCTCTGCCCTGCAGACTATCAAAGCAGATGCTGAGACTCATGGCCAACTGTTGGGCAGTGTGCATGGAATCTTATGTAAGAAGTGGGAAATAGTAAGATCTGGAGAGGACAGGAACTCCACAAGGAGAGCAATAGAACCAGAAATTTGAACACAGGGGTCTTCCCAGAGACTCATACTCCAACCAAGTACTATGTATGGAGATAACCTAGAACCCCTGCACAGATGTAGCCCATGGCAGTTTAGTGTCCAAGCTGGTTACAAAGTAATGGGAAGAGGGACTGCCGCTGACATAATCTGATTGGCCTGCTCTTTGATCACCTCCCCCTGAGGGGGAGCAGCCTTACCAGGCCACAGAAGATGACAATGCAGCCACTCCTGATGTGATCTGATAGACTAAGATCAGAAGGAAGGAGAGGAGGTCCTCCCCTATCAGTGGACTTGGGGAGAGGCATGCGTGAAGAAGAAGGAAGGAGGGTGGGTTCGGGAGGGGAGGAGGGAGGGGCTTATGGGGGATACAAAGTGAATAAAGTGTAATTAATAAAAAAAAAGAATTCCAAAGTCTCTACTGAGACTCAAGACAATTTCGTAATTGTAACCCTTTTTCAAATGAAAAACCAAAGTACATATTTCCAATATACAAAGGCACAGAACATATATTACCAATCAAAAAGAGAGGAATGGGAGAAAGAGAGGAATGAGGAAATACTGGGCCAAGCCAAAATCCAGAGAAACTCCAAATCCGGTAGCTCCATGTGTTGATGTCAAAAGGCTGAGATAGGTCTGCACTTTCAGATTTACAACTGTAGCACATTTCACTCCTATCTCTTGGGCTGATTTCACATCCTCTTTGCATCTTTCCTTAGTAGGTATCCCACAGTTCTGGTGTCTCCAACATTTTGGGTCTCCAGCAAAATAATAATCATCATCATCATCATCATCATCATCTAGGGTTCATTTTCACAGTAGCCTCTCTGGGCCTCCATGAAAAGACTGCCCTGGCTCAGTGGCTTTTGGCAACCTTGGAGGAACATCTCACAACCCCTTTACTTCCGCATTCTTTTTGACTGGAAGGCCAGAAGCACATGATTGATGCTGCCAATTTTTACTCCTAGCTTAGTATGTAACCTCACCCCTTCCTGGAATTACGTTTACTTATGCTTTGACTTATTTATTTCATTTATTTCCTTTATTTTAGAAGAGTCCTTAGGCATTTTCCTTTTGAAAGTTGGGAGTTTCGCTGGGTAAGGTCTTCTATCTGGTGGCACTCCCCTTATTCTGTTTCACACCAGGTCTTTCTTTAAATAGTTGATCTCTTTGAGCAAAACACTTAACTCCAACATTAAATGTTCTGGGGTGTTTTCAGTCCTCAAATTGAACATTTGTTATTCTTTTTGCCCTGCTTGTTCTTCCTCATGTTGATGTAATCTGCTCTGCAAACCAAACTAGTCCAAAACCTTTCAATTTTGCTTCGGGCACATTGTTAGGATAATACAAAAAGCAGTCACATTCTTTGCAAAATTCCACAGTAATAGTCTCTGGACCTTTTGCTATCTTGATCCCCTCTGAAACCTCTTGAAATGATCTTTATCATATTTGCAGCATCACTGTCTTCCAAGCTTCCACTTAAGGCCCACATACAGCAATCAACTGCTTTCCTATTCCAGTGTCCCCAAGTCTTCCACATAATTCCAAAGAGCATCACAGTCAGGCTTACGACAGCAATATCCTAGTCCTTGGCACAATCTTATGTCCTGATTACTTTTCTACTTATTCTGACCAAGAAAACTTCTAAAAATTTAATTTGGAAGCTCCAGGTTCCAGAGGGTTTATATCCATCACCATCATGGCAGAGAGCATGGCAGGAGGCCAGCAAACAGGGACACATGGTACTGTAGCAATAGCTCATTGCATACATCTGATACGCATAAGACAGATAGAAAGACAAATACACACATACACACACAGAGAGAAGGGAAGATAGAAATAATGTGTGCTTTTGAAACCTCAAAGTGCCCTCCCAGTGACACATTTCTTCCAATAAGCCTTCACCTCCTTATCACTTCCACACAGCTCCTATATATGTGAATGACCATCACATTCTGTCTGACCTACAGAAATTAATAAGTACTAGGATCATAAAGTTTATCTATTTAACTCTTGAAACATTGATAAAAAATGTTTTTCAAGATATAACATTTGTTTAAGCACTATAAAATTCAGTAACTAAAGAAATGCAACCCTTTCTTGCACTTTCTTTAGCCTTCTGATGAAAGAGGGACTTGTCAACAGTATCAGTCTTTGTCCCCAGACGCTTTTAAGGAGTGCCATCAGAAGGAGATTGTGAAGCTCTGAGTAACACAGCTCCAAAAATGCTCCAGATGCAAGATCTGTATTTCTCAACTATCACAAAAAATGATTGTGTTTTTTTTTTAACTTATTGAAGACCAGGCAACAAACTGAACAATGTTGTGAAAATAGCCCACACAGATAAGAAACATATTTCTCTCTCAAAACCATTTCTGATAAAAGCAGATCTTAGCTGGTACACTAAACTGTTTCCACTTCTTCAGGATTTCCTGAAGTACCCCTCTCTCCACCTTCTTCCTCCTCTGGAGTGTCCTGCATGGCTCTCTGCAGAAATAACTTCAGGCTTTTCTGCTGAAACCTGCGGTGCCTAATGGAGCCAACAAGGAAGTAAATGATGGGATTGGCACAGCTGTTAACACAGGATAGGAATAGTGTATCATGATAAAAATCACAATTTTTAACATAATACAAATGTTTAAGCCCTTCGTAGAGGAGCCAGTAGATCCCAAAGGGAAGACCAAAGATCAGGAAGATCAGCACTGTGAGTGCAATAATTACATACAGCCTGGTCATAGGAATTCTGTGTGAGCCACAGAAGATCCTGATAAGCAGGATGAGGCTGAACCCACAGAGAACCACAAATAAAACAATTGACCATACAGTATTGATGACATAAAATCTATAACACCAAAAGAAGTCGAAGTCAAAATCATTATACAGTAAGCCACATGCGTTTCCTTTCAGGAGACTCAACATTAGGGACAGTGCCCAAAAGAAGATACAGGTGACAGCTGATGTGTGTCTTGGACGTCGGCAGTGATACCAGATGGGCCACAGGACAGACAGGCAGCGCTCAGTGCTAATGGCACTGAGAATGCTCAGGCCCAAAAGGTAAGCAAACATTGGCACAACATAAAAAAACAAGGGGATGTCTACATAAATGGAGTAAAAGATGTAAATGATAGCCAGAAGGCAAAACACAAACTGAAAGCACAGGAAGAGCAAGTCAGCCACAGCCAGGTTGAGGATGTAGACAGAGAAGGCATTCCTGTGTATCCGGAAGCCCAGGAACCACAGCACTATGGAATTTAGTACCATCCCAACTGCAGAAATGATGAGGGAAAGCAAAATCATGGCTTGGTCCTTGACATCACAAGGTGTAGTGTAATTGTAGTAACTTCCATTCAGTGATATGCTGTTGGTTTCCCAGGTTGAGATGCTTAGATCCTGGCTTAGGAGATCTCCACTAGTGTTCCTAGAACAACAACAACAACAACAAAAAGACATGAGCACGTGCTGTGTACTCTCTGATTCTCAGGACCACCCTACTATGTGATAATGACTGACCTGGTTTATTAGGAGAAGAAACAGGACTATAGATATTAAGTAATTTATCAAAACCAGTATTTCTGAAGCTTTAATTTAAATCCAGCTTATATTTATTTGGGCTATCTACAAACTATGTCCTGTGCTGATTTGACAGTAGTTGATGGCTGCAGTATAGACACTCAGTGTCTCAGGATGTGTCAGAGGAAATAGATCTCTGAACCCAACTTTCTTTCAGTCCAAAGGCTGGTTCATCTCTGATACAGGAACTTAGAAGCCAGAAGTATGACCAAGAGCAGTTCTCAGTAATGCTGGGATGGTAGAAGGCTTTCAAACAGGAAAATATGAAAATAATAAATGACAGTCATGAAGGTAATGCCACTTCATACTAAGACCAGTGTGAAAAGAACCAAACCTTAGGCTACAGTGACTCAGTCTCCACTTCAGATTGAAACTAGAAATCAGGAAAGCCTTCAAGGACAGTAAGCACTTTTCTGTTATCTATTATCACAAGTGTGCATCTCTCTATTGAGACACAGTGAGTAACTGAGAATTCTCACTGATTTATTATTATTCACAAATATTACATATGTATATACCATATATAAATTATGTATGTGATAATTATTCACAAATGAATACATTAATGATAACCTCAACTGTAGATACAAATTTAGATTAAATGTTTTTGCAAGTATTTTAGAGGAAGTTTAGTTCCAAACACACAGAAAAAGAAAAAAAAATTATAATTCCTGATGATTCTGTAAACAGAAAGTTCTAGCATTTTTGAAAGAATGGCTTATGCTGCAAGATAGCTAATGATGAACTTTGTCATTTTCTAATGGAGGAGTGTCCAATAAATGGCTATTTTTGATGACCTAGAAGAGTTTCAGCCCAGAATTTAGGCATTGATTCTGAGATTAACTAAATTTCTAACATTCTTGAGGAATAAATAACAAATTGGGGGAAAAATAAAAGGAAGGGGGAAAGTGACCACTGTGCTAAATAGAGGACATTGTGACACAGAAACATTTATAGCAATGTTTACAGGGAAGAAAGACTCGACAGGCTGGGCCAGGAAGATTTCAATGAATCCAAGCACAGTCTGAGCTACTTAGTGAATTCTTGAAAAGCCTGGACTGAAGGAAAGGAAAACATCAAAGACAGAAGAATAAGGAAAGGAAAGGGAAAGGAAGAAGGGAAGAGAAAGGAAGAAGGGAAGGGAAGGGAAGGGAAGGGAAGGGGAGGGGAGGGGAGGGGAGGGGAGGGGAGGGAAGGGAAGGGAAGGGAAGGGAAGGGAAGGGAAGGGAAGGGAAGGGAAGGGAAGGGAAGGGAAGGGAAGGGAAGGGAAGGGAAGGGAAGGGAAGGGAAATAGAAAAAAATCTCAACTTTGGAGATCATAGGTACCCTTTGTGCAAAAGATAGATCTGAGATGCAGACTAAAGCAGAGAAAACTAATTCCATGATTAAGAATTTTCCTTAAACTACAAAAATATAGGACCATTCCAACAATATTGGAAGAGTGAGAGTGAAAGACAGAAGTATCCAGGGGGTACAAGAATACCATAAGAAGACCAGTAGAGTCAATAACTTAGACCCATGGGGGCTTACAGAGATGAAAGCATCAATCAAAAAGCATGCATGGGCTGGGCCTAAGCCCCCTATACATATGTAACCAATGAACAGTTTGATCTGCATGTAGGTTCCCTAGTAAGTTGAGCAGGTACTGTCTATGACATGGACTCTGTTGCCTGCTTTTGATCAATTCCTCCTAACTTAACTGGTTTGCTTGGATGGCAAGCCTAGGTGGATAAGAATGACCTCAGCTCTGCTGTGACTTGATGTGCTGAAGTGAGTTGGTAGTGAAGGGCTACCTTTTTGAAGGAGAAAAGGAAAAGGGTGACAGGGAGGAGCTGAAATGAGAGGGAAACTGCAATCTGGATGTAAGGGGAATAAATAAATTTTAAAAAATTAACATAAAAATAACATGCCAGAAGAAGATGACACATAAATAACACTGATGTTAAATGTGGCAGGAACATGTGACTGTTTACTTGCAAAGGAAAACCTATCAGCAAAATAACAGTTACATGTAAACATCATAGAGCTGGAAGAGCATGGAAAAGTAATGTTCCACACCCTGAAAAATACAACTGCCAATCAAGAGTCACACACATCTTGATAGAAACCACTCTCCTTGTTTACACCCTCTTGGAACTATTCTGGCTCTCAAGCTAGCTATGCCACCTTGGCCTTCTCTGTAGGACTGGCAAGCCCCTGGTAAGAGGTTTCCTCCCCAAAACTTTGTTCCTTTCAGATTCCCCCAAATTATGTAGTCTCTGACCCAGCTGGGGACTTCAAAATGGTGATCAAAAATTTGTACAAAAAGACATAACCAAGAACCAAACTCCAGATGCTAAGATCCTATCAAAAATTGTAAGCAATATGAAAAATAAAAACAGTATGTCTTTCCTAAAGATCATTAGTCCTATAGTATGTATCCCCACTGAGTATAATTTAGATGAAGCTCAAGACAAGAGTTCAAAAGAACAATTACAAACATGTTCAGGGGTTCAAATAATTCAGAGAGGACTTGAATAAACTTAAAGAATGGACTTTAAGAGGACAGGAATAAATACCCGACTAAAGTAAAAACAACACGATTGGCCAGCTCTACATACAGCAGAAGACTGGTGTCTAGAGAACATAAAAAACTCAAAGAGTAAAACAGCAAGAAAAGAAGAGAAAGAAAGAAAGAAAGAAAGAAAGAAAGAAAGAAAGAAAGAAAGAAAGAAAGAAGGA